AGCTATAAATTTTTTTCGTTATATCCTATATGTTAGTAAATTTCAAATCGACATACTACTCTTGCTTATGCAAGTACTTAAACTCTTTTTTTCTAGATATAGGAGGAAAAAGCGTAATTAATTTCGATTTTAAAAAATATTTTTTATAGTGTATATAACCTAAAGAATTGTTCATATCCTACCCAACCTACTATAACATTAGACTATATCAGCTATTACAACAAAAATCGTTGAAAAATACATCCTCACCCCAAAGATGAGTGACTCTGAACTTAGCCAATATGCCTCAGAATTTCTTGAAAATCTTACCGATGATAGAAAGCGGAATCAAGCCAGAAGGCGTCTTCGGGATGGCTTTAAATTTAGCAGTAAACAGGTGAGTATATTAATACCTAACCAGAGAAGTGATAAAACTAAAACTATAAATTTTGTAACTTCCGATAGATATCAAGATCCTATTTCAATCCCGCAAGGATTAAAGGAAGAAACTATCAGAGAGATAGCGCATCGATTTTTACAGAACGAGCTTAGTATTAGGGATATAAGAGCTGAAGCTTATGCCTTAGCCTTATCGGCATTAAATGCTAATGCTGGTTCTTCTCGGTTATCACGACTCAGAAGAGAATTAAGAAATCTTGGTGCTTTATCCCAGATAATCGAAGCTACAAAATTCCCCAATATTACAAAAGATGCTAATGAAATTCAGAAGAATCGACGAATATTTGTTGAGGAGTTTGAGAGAATTGATTATCCAGACCGCTTTACGTTAGAATTGGTCAAAGAAAGATTGGATAGTTATGATACATCTATTTTACCTGACTTACAAGCTCTCGCAAATGTTATGAGAATGCTTTGTATCCGCCCTGCTGAACTTATATCTTTACGCATTACAGATGCTGGAGTGATAGGCTATGCAAAGAACCGAAGTCAGATAGATACTCCTCGAAAATTAAGATCTATGGAGAAGAATCAAGAATGAGCTAAGGAATTGCTTACCTGGATTCAGAATGCTATTTCTTCTGGTCGAATGGGCAACCCAGGTAAGCCAGGAGCAAAATGGTTCAATAGATTCTTAAAAGACTATAATTTAATTCCTCGCCATTTATGTAAAATAGGGGCTGTATATGCTGTGGTGGTACATGGGGCAAAGAATTTAGCTCATGCTATGACAATCGCCGGAGAAGCCTTATGTCACAATCCTGACAATAACACCTCACCAGCACAAAATTACGTTATTGTCAATTATCGGAGAAAGAATCAACTACCTGAAGAAGCGAGACCATTCCGACTCTATGATAATGTTAACTAATCACGCTTCTTTGCTTCGAAAACTTGTGTATGTATTTCATTCTCGTTGATGCTAGAATATCTGGAAATGCACATCGTGGATTACAAATAATTTTATTTAGTAGTGGAGAATGGGTAATTATTTACCGAGTTATTTTTTCGGCTAATATATAACAATGAAAGATAAGAGTAACATATTAACAAATAAAAAAAATCAAAAATATTACGAAAAGTGGCATATCTTTAGAGGGTGGAAGTGCGGGTGTAAGGTTTGTGACGAATGCAATCATCATTCACACCTGTATTGCAAAACATGCAAAAAGGTGGCGGATGGA